GAATGTTATCCGCCGTGTCCTTGCGCGCCTGCCTCGGCAAGGCCATCCCCTCGACGGGCTGGCCGCTGCCCCTGCGCCAAGGGCCGGCTGCCCTGATGGCCCCCTTCATCATCAGCACAGATGTCGCGGTCCTGGCGTGCTGGATCGCGACGGCCATGGCGAAATGATTCTCCATGAACTTGGCGCAGTGCGGGTCGTTGCGATCGACGGTCAAAAAGGTTTTTTCCGTCGAGCTCCTCACCTTTCACAACCCGCGAGTTGCCGGGGTGCGGATCGGAGGAGTGGCTGATGAGCGGGCATCCGTAAGCGATCGTGGCGGGGGCCATTGGCACTCTGCAGCGCGCCCGGGAGCAAGCGAGCACAACGACTTGAAATCGCCGAGAAGGCGAATCGCAACAAACTGAAATCGCTGCTGAGCCAAAAACGGCTGGAGCATACGGACGCGACGCCGAAAGGGCTGAGCGAGTCCGAAACGCCACAGCGCAAGGTGCTGCACGGCCCACGGTACCTGAGATGAGGAGGAGGAGGACAGCGGGGGAGAAGAGGAGGAGGGCGAGGATGAGGGATGAGGAAGGGATTGAGGAGGAGATTGATGAGGATGGTAATGAGGAGGATGAAGAGGAGGAGAAGACAGAGGAGGAGTAGCACGTGGATCCGCGCGAAGCTTGCCGTTCTGGGGCGAGTGTCAACAGGGGTCCAGCCATTCCTGGGTTGTTCGGGAGGGGCCATCTGTCCTCTTCCACTTTGTCGTTCTCTCCTCCCCCTCCTCCTTTAGTCTCCCCCTTCGCGCCTCCTCCTCCTCCTTCTCCTCCTTCTCCCCCCCCTCCATCTCATCCGTCTCTTCTCCCTCCTTCTCCTCAACCTTCTCCTCCTTCCCTTCTCCCTCCTCGTCCTTTCTCTCCTCCTCCTAGCCTTTCCCTCGTCCTATGCCAGGGCGGCGCAGGCGGTGCCTTGAAGTTGTTGGGCCGTCACGCGCAGGGGAGGGGGGGGTGGCGATCTCCCTCGCTCTCTCCCACTCTCGCTCTCTCTGCGTCTCTGACTACAAGATCTTCTGCCCGCGCATTGCATTCAGCGGCGCCGCGCCCTTCGACCTTCCTTCCAAAAAGCCGGCCTTTTAAAACAAACTTTTGTTGGTTGGTGCAATCGGGTTTCCCGGCAGCATTTCTATCGTTCCACTACTTGTCACCCCCTCTCCTCTTCCTTCTCCTCCTCGCCGCTGCAGGCGGTCGCCGCCGACCCGCGTCGGTTGCTGCCCCGAGGGGCGGCGCGATCGACGACGGGAGATTGGCTTTTCCCTCTCATAGTGGCAGGGCGCCAAGAGAGCGAACGCGCCCTGCCCTGACCCAGCGAAAGCAGTGGCAAGATGCCGCGCGCAGCGAAGGCCCGAGGCAGCCATCAAGCAGCGCGCGCGGTAACGTCGTTCACTCCTCCTCGTCCGTTTTGTTCTCCCCCTTCTCTTCCTCTTCCCCCTCCTCGTCTTTTCGCCCCCCCCCCCTCTTCCCCATGCGCGCGTCTGCGTTCAGGGCCGAAGTGCAAACCTTCAGGCGTTCACCTTGGCAGCCTCACTGCTCCGATCGCCATGGCTGACAGAGGTCCTCTTGCTAGGCGAGGCCTTCTGCTTCGAAGCGGTCGGCCACGTGTCCTCTTCTGGGCGGAAGATGCGGTCGCCTGATTTGATTGGCTTGCTGTTGCGCAGACTGGACAGGGCAAGCTGGACCTTCTCACTCCTGCCGATGTTCTCGACGCAACTTTGCACAGCTGTACGCGACGCATATCCCACGCACATGTTGGCCTTTGTTTGGTCGGGGGTCCTAGGCGCGAGCCGGAGCGGGACGACGAGATGCTGCTTCTCATGGCATGCAGGGTCTGGAACAATCGCCTTGTGCATGACATGCACGATATAGTTCGGTGGAGTACGGGGCACGTCGGGGATAACCGCGCAGCTGGCAGGGACCTTCGTTCCGCGTGATGCCAGAGGCGAGAGCGCAACGAGGAAGCACCCACCTTTAGCACACTTTTTGCCTGCGACTACGTCGGTCGCCGCTGGCCGCGGCTTCGGCTTGCCACGCGTGGTCAACTTTACCGTTGGCTTGAAAAGGCCATGCGCGTGCCCCGGCCCAGCCTTGGCGATGCTAGCGGCCCTATGCGAGCAGAGCAGGCAGACGCGACGTGCCTACATCCACTTCCTCCCTCGCCCCTCCCCTTTGGATGCATCCCTCTTCCCTGCGGCTTGGGAGCGCGAGCGATTGCGCCCCCGTGACATGAAACAAACTCAGCCTACCCCCTCATGCCCCATCATCTCCCGTCCTGCCCCCCCCCTCCATGCGCTGGCGCGGGGGGCACGCGGCGGGGGGGGGGCGGGGGGGTGGGGGGGGTGGGGAAGGGGGGGGGGGGGGGGAGGCAGGCGAGGAGGAGGAGGAGAAAGGAGCCAGCAAAGGGCAGGTCATAATACCAAGAAGGAGCTAGAAGCAAGAGGGGGAGTGCCACGGAACAGATAGCGTGTCCATCGGCCTCATGCCAACCCGTCGCCGCCCCCCCACCGACGGCTGTCTTGGGGGTCGCTGGAGTCGATGTCGAATGACATGGCGTCGGTGTTGACAACCTGGGGCCCGTGGTTCTTATCCCTCGTTCTCGTCGTCTTATTATCAATCATATGATTTTTCCTCCTCCTTCCTCCTGCTCCTCCTCCCTCTCCTCCTTCTCTTCCTCATCCTCCACCTCCTCCCTCTCCTCTTGCCCCTCCTCCCTCTCTTTGCCCCCCCTCCCCCTCCTCCTTCCTCGCCCATAGCTGGCCACTCCAGTAGGCCCTCAGGTGCTAGTGGTAACAGTGGTTACCATGGTGTGTAGTTAGTGGACGTATAGACATCATAGCCCTATCGGGTCTGGGCCGTGGTTTGTGGCGGCCCGAACCTCGCGCTCGTCTAAGAGCTGCGCTGGTGCCACGTGCGCGTCGATGATGGTGGGCGCGCCCTTCTTCTATGTGGAGAAATCCGCCAGGCCGATGTTGTCAGACTTGATCTCTATGATTGCCTACTGCTTCGCGTCGTCATTGCCGAACTTGAGCTTGGCCGCAGCGTTCTGCTCGACCCCGTTATCCTACATGGCGTTGGAGGAAAACCAGCCCTCGCCGAATTTCTCCCCCCATCGCTGCGCCGCTCAACCCCGACGCGCCGGGGGCGCCCCCGTTCGCCTTCTCGAGCGGCCAAGGCAAGGTCGACGCTTCAAGCTTTGTGAACTTGGCGAGCCGCCCATGAGGAGCTCCTGGCAGATCTCGCCAGTGGTCTTGTAAAGAGCACGATGTCTGCTTTTCTCTCCGCGGAGGTGCATCGCCGCCCGCGCTTGGCAATCACCGTATAACTTCGCTACGTCCCCGTTGGTCTTGCCCTATGTGATGTTCTTCTCCAGCCACGCCTTCGTCATCTGATCGTTCGCCTCGATCGCCCGACCCCGTTGCTTCGCGACGTTCGGGAGGTCGGTCGTAGACAGAAGTTTCGAGCATTGGCCATTGCAGTGTTGATCAGCTGCTACAAGGGAAGCTTTCGCCAGCGCGACGACGCAGCGCGTGGCCCGCGCAATCTGCTGCAAAGACAACGACTTAAACGACGCAGCCGGCAATTCGCGCCTGAACGCCGGCACTTTGCTGTAGTCCCGCGCGCGTTGGAGGTGGATTGGGTTATCGCCGGCGCCCCACTTCGCCACGAACTCTCCGATGCTCCGAACCTGCCCCTCCATGCGGGGTTGAGCGCTCTCCATGTCGCGCGCGATGATGGCGAGCATGAAGTCGCCCATGACGGCGTTGTGCTTCAAGGCCTTGGAGTGGGCTGCGAACATCGCTTGCGCGTGCGTCTGCTTCCGCTGCGTCCCGCGGCCGCTGTTGCCAGCCAGGCTTAGGAAATCCGCTAGTTTGTTGGACGCATCGCTGACTGTATAGTGGATGACGAGCCGTTTGATGCCGCCCTTGAGCGCCCTGTCGTAGTTCGGGCCCAGCGCGGCAACCTGCGGCAAAGAGAAAGATGAAACGGATTTGGAAGAACAGTAAGGAGCATGAGAATAGGCAAATTATGCACAACCTGCCCTGCTAAGGAATTCATTCTGGCGCAACTTGGTCCGGTTCGAAGTGCACCCCGCCGAAGCCGCCCGCTTCCCAGCTGTAGCGTGCGAGGCGAGCACGTCACCGTCGCGACCCGCATGCCGCGCTTCGCGACGGGGGCCAGCTGCCCGCCCGATGAGGCGCGCAAGCGATCGTTGAAGTCGAAGACGGCATCCATTCTGTTCGGGCCGATCTCGAAGCAACGCGGGGTCTCCAAAGCCGAGTCGCTCCAGCCTTGATGCGCGATCTCGCCCGTCGACCGGGTCCAAGCCCGTGCCCCAGCAGCTGCGTGGGTCAACGACGACCTCGTCGCCCTGGATGGTCTCCCAGAAGGCCAGGTTAGGCGTGAGCAACCTCTCGCAGATCTGGTCTGTCTCGGCCTTCATCGGGCCTTTTCCTCCGTCGTCGCTCCCGGGGTCGTAGTCCTGAGTGATCTTGTTGATCAGTGGCGTGACCTCCTTTGCTGTTTCGTCCACGGTGCGCGACGGACTGCCGCGCGACATGTTGCTCCAAGGATCCCGAGGTGAGGGAGCTGAAGCCAGGAGTGCCCGATCGCAATCGCAAGCCTGAGCCGAGGAGGCTATGTCTGACGTGGTTCGCCAAACAAAAACTCTGCTCGTCGTTCTCTTCCTCTCCCAGGATTCCAGGTTTCAACATGCATTCCCCAGAGACAACTTCGAAAACCACCACGGCCCATCCAGAAACCGAGCTTCTCAGACCGAGCTAATCTGGCTACGTAACCAGGTTGCGCGCAGGTTGGGGCCTAAGCTAACCTGGTTATCTTGGCTGTTTGATACCCCTGCTAACCAGTTTGTGTGGTTATCTTATCCTAGATATCTATGAGCGGAATGTTTCTTTTGGGTTCTGGTAATTCGGCCAAAGTGACATGATGTTTACCCCATTGAACTGCATGCATACCGAGCTTAGCCTTGGATGTGAAGCTTGTAGCATAGGTTAGCCGAGTTGTAAGGTAGGTTATGGGAACTTACAACCAGTTGAGTCAGGTTTACCACTAGGTAAGGCCCCTGGGCATTTCAGTCGTCGCAGTGGATATGGATACAAATCGTGTCCGCATAGATCGGCAGCCAGCCCGGGGTGGAAGTGAGAGGCGGCGGGTCTTCTCAGAAGGCTTGGGAATTCCTCGGCCTTCTGGGAAGTTATCCAAGCCTCCCCCGACTTCTGAAACGGCCTCCTTCGGACGGGGGTGAATCCGTTCCAGAGCGTTCCCGAACGCTCTCAGAGCGTTCCGGAACGCAATGAGGAGGCAGCGGCGCCCGAGGCATCCTCTGGAGCCGCCGGATCTCAGAGATTCTCGATGTACCCATCTTCGCCCGACTTTGTCCTCGTCCTGGCCTCGTCTTACATCTTCTTCTTCTTCTTCTTCTTCTTATTCTTCTTCTTCTCGTTTCCCCCCCTCGCTCGCCGCCGATCGGGAAGACGTAAAATTCGGGTACGGGGGACTCGGGTTGGCCTGACTGGGCCATCAAAAAATGACGAGACCCAATCTGGAATTTGACGCGAGCTCCCGCTGCAAACGTCCCACGAAAACTGGACCGTCAAAATCCAGGACGCACTCGCCAAAAATCGTCGGCAAACCCGAGTTCCGGCTTACTCGAGTCTGACGTTTCCCCGAGCCGAGAGAGAGAGAGAGAGAGAAAAAAAAAAGAAGAGTTGTTTTGGGAGGTAGGTGGTTCTCTCAAGCTCTTCGCCGCCTCTGGCGGTGCGCGTTGCGAGCAGGAGCGCAGCAAACCACTTTTGGCAGCTGGATCTCTCCAGCTCTCCGCCGCCTCTGGCGGTGCGCGTTGCGAGCAGGAACGCAGCAAAGCCACAACGCAACGCACACCGCCAGAGGCCGCGGAGAGCTCGAAAGGTCCACCCGCCCGAGCCGAAAGTTGCGAGGTGATCGACCCCGATCTCCCCGGCACCGGCGACGCCGCGGGGCGCGCGGTGGGGCCCGCCGCCGCCTCGGCGGGGGCGGGCCGCGCCCCGGCGGCCCCGGCGGCCGCCACCCGCGATGCGCCGGGCCGGCGGGATTCCAAGGATCAGGGGAGAACAGCATCCCCCTCCTCGTCCTCTTCCTCCTCCTCCTCCTCCTCCTCTTCCGTCCCTCCCTCTCTCCTCCTCCCTCCCTCCCTCCTCCCCCTCCTCCTCCTCCTCCTCCGCCTCCTCCTCCTCCTCCTCCTCCCTCCTCCTCCTCTCCTCCTCCTCCTCCTCCTCCTCCTCCTCCTCCTCCTCCTCTCCTCCTCCTCCTCTTCCCTCCCTCCATCCCTCCCGCCCTCCCTCTCTCTCCCTCCCTCCCTCCCTCCCCCTCCCTCCCCCCTCCTCCTCCCTTCTCCTCCTCTCCTCCTCCCTCCTCCTCCCTCCTCCTCCTCCTCCTCCTCCTCCTCCTCCTCCTACAAAGCAACCGATCGTAGGTTGCGGCGGAGTTGGATTCAGATCGCTACGCGATCAGGCAGAGTCTCAGAGTCTCCTCCTCCTCCTCCGCCTCCTTCTCCTCCTCCTCCTCGGCGAGCGAGTAGGGGAAATGAGAGGTATTCGGGCTCTTCTGTCAGTTCTCGGCGGTTTTCTAGCCTCGGGATGCTTGCCAGCAGCTGCGCCTCGCCGAGGGCGTTCCAGGGGTGCCCGGATCGTCCCGACTGGCCGCCGGAGACCCGAGTTTTGACCCGAAGACCAAGTTCGGTGGCGCGCCCAGGCGGAAGTGAGAAGGAGCAGGCCTTTTCAGAAGGCGGTGGAGCTTCTCAGAAGCCCTCGCGCTTTCTGAGGAGTATTCCGAGCCTTCGTGGGAGGCTCAAAACAACTGTTCGGAAGGTCAGGGAACTTTCGAGCCTTCTGAGAAGGCCCGCCCCCTCTGACTTCCACCCCGCCATTGACTCTAGGCCTCCCAGATGGGGTCAGAGTAGATTTGGTCGGAGGATCGCCCCGCAACGTCGATGCGTCGCCGAAGCGGGCTTGATGTGGAGCCTTGTTTTCTCCACGCCGACGGCGCCGATGCATCGGCGATGCGTCGCCGATGTATCTGCGACGCGGCTCGATCTTCCGACCCCATCTATTCGGACCCCATCTAGGAGTTCTCTATTGATTTTTCACCTTTCACACCCTTCGACTGGCAGGTGGCTGCTTCAGTGATCTTCTCGAGGGACATCAAACAGCACTAGCACAAACGTTCTGCGCTCCGTGCGGGCTTCTCGGATCGGCGCAGGATGCCGCCTTGCGGCGCCGCCCTGTGCGCGCTTCGCGCGCGAGGGAGGGGGTCCAGCGCAGATCCGAGAAATTGCCGCATAGCTCCGAAAGTTTATGTCAATGCAAGTTGTGAACCTTGGAGAAGATCGCTAAGTCAGCCACCTGTCGTTCGGATGGTGTGGAAGGTGGAGAATCAAGGTTGGGTCATGAAGCAGTCAAGACGGACGGTTTGTCATAGTTTTCGGCCCTTCGGGGCTCTTGACTGGCCCCGGGACTGTCAAAACGGGTCAAGATGAGGAGCAGGTCCCCGGAAAGGGGTCCAGACCTCTGGGGGGCCGGGGTGTGAAAAAACGTAACGACGCCGGGGGGCTTCCAGTACAACACACAAGACGCACCAACGATGCTGCATCAATCCCTTCCTCCCAGTTCCCCTCGCCGTGTAGGGTATTAACTACAAAAATCCATTTTCACTGCGGCAAGTGCCGTTTGGGCGCCTGGCTTGACTTGGCTTGACTTGCGGGAAGTGCCCCATTGGAAGACAACCGTCTTGCAGATCCCAGGTCGTGCCAGAACACAAATTCTTGGACTTCTGCACAGCGAATCAATGTGACTGTTGCGTCCTGCAAATATTGAATCGTGTCAGGAGGCCGCTCTTGGGAATTCAACACCGCGAATCAACGTGACCGTCGCGTCTTGGCAGTCCTGAATGTGCTAGAACACCAGTCCTGGGACTTCAAACATATTAAACCGACGGGTATGTGACATTGTTGAACATAAGCTGCCGCAAGCTTTTGAGACTTTCCGCGGCGCTAAGACGAGATCAAACTTTTGAAAAACACCCGCCCTCCATCCGTGAAGGTGTCGCAAAATATTGAGACGACATAAACCCATCCGCCATCCGTCCGTGAAAGTCTTGCACACTTTCAGAAAGAATGTGCGCGGCGCGAATGGGAAAGCCAAATTGTAAAAAGGTGTCTCCCTCCCTCCGTCCGTGTTGCCAGGCTTTGGGAAGAATGCGCGCGGCGCTAATTAAGGCGAAGCCACATTTCGAAATCACCAGCCCTCGAACCGCGAAGCTCTTGAAAACATGGAAGACGAATGCGCGCGGCTGTAAAGCGAGAACCGCATTTTGAAAAGGCAAACCGCCCTCCTTCAGTGAAATCGCTGCGAACTGTTAAGGCGAAAGTGCGCGGCGCGGAGGCTAGAGACATGTTTACAACCACTCGCACTCCATCCGCAAATACCTTGCAGCTGTTTACGACGAATATGCCCAGAGCTGCGGCGAGAGCCGCATTTTTGAAACGGCCCGCCCTCCATCCGAGAAGCCCTTGCAAATTTTTACAGTAAGGCGAATGTGCGCGGCGCTGAGGCAAGAGCCACATTTCGAACACCCCCCGCCATCCATCCGTTCAACTTTCTGCAACGCTTCGCTAAGGCGAGAGCTACATTTTGAAAAGGGCCCGCCTTCCACCCGTGAGATATCCCTGCAAACTTTACATCGGTTGCTCGAAGCGCTGATGCGAGTGCCACATTTCTGGGGCGGCCCGCCCTCCATCCGTGAAATTCTTTCAATCTGTCAGGAATGAATGTGCGTGGCGCTTTGGCGAGAGTCACGTTTTGAGAACCACCCGCTCTCCATCCGTGAAGCTCGTGCGAGGTATCAAAACGGACGTGAACGTCGCTAAGGGGAGGACCACATCTTGAAAACGTCCCGCCCTCCTTCCATGAAGCGCCTTCTTACGTTTAAGACGACTGTGGGCGGCGCCGAGGCGAGAGCCACATTTTGAAAACCGCCCGCCAGTCATCCGCGAAGCTCTTGCAACATTTTGAGACGAATTTGCGCGGCGCGCTGGCAAGAGCCACACCTCGAAAACGGCCCGCCCTGAATCCGAAAAACCCATCCACAATGCTCTAGGCCTCCTAGACGGGGTTGGAGTTTATGGGGTCGGAGGATCGTGCCGCATCGTCGGTGCATCGGCGATGCGGATCGATGTGGGGCCCACTTTTCTCCACGCCGACGTCGCCGATGCATCGCCGACGTCGGCAGTGCATCGCCCATGCATCGCCGATGCATCGGCGTTGCATCGCCTATGTATCGGCGATGCGGCGCGATCCTCCGACCCCATGTACTCCGACCCCATCTAGGAGGTCTCCAAATGCTTGGCTTTAGGAGCGCAATTGGTGAGGAAGTCTTCTGCCAAACGCCCAGCCCGCCCTGCCAGCACGTCTCTAGGTGCCACATGAAAGAGTTATTGATAAGGAAAAGGGATGGCGAAGGAGAATGGGTCCGAGGCTGTCCTGCGCGGGGGTCAGACCTTTCAGAAGCTCCAGAGGAGGAGGAGGAAGAGGAGGAGGAGGAGGAGGAGGAGGAGGAGGGGGAGGAGGAGGAGGAGGAGGAGGGGGAGGAGGAGGAGGAGGAGCAAGAGCAAGAGCAAGAGCAGGAGCAAGAGCAAGAGCAGGAGCAGGAGCAGGAGAAGGAGGACGAGGAGGAGGAGGAGGTGCTCTTCCACAGGATGGGCTGCAGCAGGCGCCACCCACGGCGGGGACTGCCCAGGCCGGCGCCGCTCGCCCGCTCCCGGGGCTCGTCCTCGACTCGGGGCGCGACGCCAGCGGCGACGCGGGCGCGGGCCTTGCGCCGAGTGCGGCGGAGGTAAGGGGCAACGATAGGGGGGGGATAGGCTCGAGGAGCGAGGTTGGAGGCTCGGTGTTTGAGGTTTTCAAGCGTTTTCGTAGATTTTCGGCGGTTTCCCAGCCTCGGGGTGCGTTCTAGCAGCTGCGCTTCGCCGAGAGCGTTCGGGGGGGACCCGAATCGTCCCGAACGGCCGCTGGAGGCCCGAGTCATGACCCGAAAACCACCAGGGGATAGGTTCAGGGGGGTACGCATGGACCCCTTACACCCTTTCACCGCCATCGTGGGCCCATCGCAGATTCACAGGCCCAGAGCCGGTCCCCCCCTAGCGCTGCCCCTCAGGAGGGCGAGCACGGACCTTTGCCGGGCGCGCCAGGAGTGCCAGCTTGCGCGGGCAGCGCTCTGCCGGGCTGCGGCCTGGTGTTTGTCCGGCGGCGGCCGGAGGAGTTCTCGAAGCCCACCGGGGCCAGGAGCTCCCTGACCGCAGAGCTGAGGCGACTGGACCGCCGCACTGGCTGCGCAGCTGGCGACAGCGTCAGCCCTCCAGGGGGTCACAGGTGGGGCCTCGACGCCGTGAGGACCCTCGAGCTGCGGGTTCACCTGGCTCCGTACGGTGGCGAGGCGATCACCGTTGAGGTGCCCGCCTGCATGTGCGTGGCGGCCCTGAGCGGCGAGGTGATGCGCCAGAGCCGCAGGCGCCGGCGGATCCAGACCAGCGCCTCTTGCGAGGTGCGAGTGTACGACGAGAGCCAGCGGCAGCCAGACTACAGCTACCCACCGTTCGACCCCGACCTCCGCCTGGGCAGCCTGGGCGTGAGGGACGTCGCGATGTGCCCGCTGACGTGCCCGCCCGGCACACCGCCGTCGCCGCCGCTCGCGGCGCCCAGTGAGGGCTGCGAGCTGTCGGTCGCCGCGGTGACCCCGCTGGCGGACTTCTGCGCCCTGGCGCGGCGCATGCCGTGCGCGGCTGGCGCCTCCAAGACGGCGCCCTCGATCCAAGGAGTCCACCGACCTGCCCGCGGACAGCGCGGATCGCGTGCGGCAGCCCCGGGCAGGGGACCCACGGCGCCGCAGAGGGGCAGCAAGGGCCAGGAGTCTGGGAGGGGCGGCGGCGATACCCACGCGGGCACCGGGGAGATCTTCATGACGATCACAGGCGACGGCGAGGCGGACGGCGCGTCGTGGACGGAGGACGAGGCCACGGTGCGGCGAGCGCGGCAGCACTCCGACACGCACTTGCAGCTCGGAGGCCCTCCAGCGCCGCCGCTGTCGCAGCCGCGCTCGAGGAGCATGAGCATGCCGTCGCTGGAGCCGCTCGTCACCTCGGGGGGCTTCGAGGCCGTCCCTGCCACGTCGAGGGCCGCCGACAGGGTTCCCTCGCCCAGCGCGGGTGCGCGGACCCTGTGGTTGCTGCTGTCGGAGGGCGCCCGCGAGGCTGCCCCGCCGCTCGGGCCGTGCGGTGGCGCCGGCTGCACGGGCGCCCCGGAGGCGGTGTGTATGACCGACATGGGCACGGGAAGGGTCTCAGGTACCCGACGGTATGATTGTTTGAGGCCCGTTTTTTTTTGTTCCCTCGTTTTTTCGGCTCTCGGGGGCCGCTTCGGGTCCTTGGGGCCATCAGAAACGGATCTGGGACGAACAACTACCCCTGGGAGCTCTGGGGCCGCGGACTGTAAAACATATAGCACATCGCAGGATGCCTGGGGTGAGGACGGAAACCAGCAGCAGTTGCTGTCCATTTTCAGCAGGATTCGCTGTCTGTGTCGCCGCGGGCGTTGTCTGTTTGAGGCGCAAGTCTTGTCACAAGTTTGCCTGTCCAGCAGCGGCCGCTGTCGGTTTAGACGACGCTGGTTGTTGGGCATCGTGCCCATTTCTCCGTACCTATTGCGGACATGCCCCAGAGGCGGTCGCCCTCAGCGCCCCTGGCGGGGTGACGCTCCACGAGGCTCGCCGAAAAGGAGACGTCTGCATAAGCATAGAGCATAGACTTTCGGACCTCCAGCGCCGATCCAAGAAAGCCGCACGGGCCCTCGGACGTTTTTTGTGTACATGTCAGAGAAGCAAGAGGTAATGATAATAACACGTTCCAAGGCTTCCAGGGGGTTCAGGATTCCCGAATGCTCTACACGCGCTGCAGAAACGAGGGCCGTATCCTGATACTTCGGGAATGCTGACACGCATATCCTGAGCCACTCCTGTAGCAAGACGTCGCTCTCGTCCTACCATCTGCGGCCTCCTGCTCCTTCAAGAGGTGCTGGAGCGGCTCTCCCGTGAGCGCGGCCGGCGCTACGACCCCGTGAGCTTCGCCATCGAGCGGCTCACGGGCGGCGCGACGCAGCGCCTGGACCTGAACATGCAGGTGAAGCACCTGCAGCCGGGCGCCGCGACGCTGCGGGTGGTGCAGAAGTACACGCCCACGGCCTCGCCCTCCACCCCGCCGCCCCCCCTGCAGAGCGCCCGGGCCCCCGAGGCCGAGGCGGGCGGCGCCGAGCACGGCCCGTCGCTCTGCTCCCACCCGGCCTTCCTCCTCTCCGAGCACGCCGCGGCCATCGCCACCGAGTACCTGGTCACCGTCGCCGTGCAGGGCTCGAGGGCGCGCCCGGTGGAGTGCCTTCTGGTCGTGGACCGCGATCTGCTGCGCCACCGGCCGCCGCGCCGGGGGGTGCTCGGAGGGCCTCGATGAATACACCACGTCGTCAGGTCGGCGAGGGGGCCAAGGAGTTCGGCGAGGGGATTCGGTGTATAGACGCTCCAGCGTCTCGCAGGTCAGGCAGCGTCTCGCAGGTTACTTGGCCGACCAAACGACGTGGTGCATGCATCGAGCCCCTCCCAGGTGCAGGGGCCCGAACAGCGGAAGGGGCTCTTCATAGGCGCCCTACTTCGGAAACTGGGAAGCCTCGAGCGTGGAGATCCAGATATTTTCAGCGAGCGGAACGTGCGCGACATCACCGACATTTTCCCGCACGGAGGTACGCAATCAGCCTTCTCGGTGGTGTACAACTGTCTCTCGCTCGGCATCGGCAGCGATGACTCCATTGAGCTTGTGTACGAGGCGCAGACACCCACAGAGCGCGCAGACATATTCGCTCGTCTGCGCTTCCTCCAGATGGTCTTCAAGTGACCTGCCACGCTTGCGGCCGCACGGCGCGTCGTGTGCGTCGCAGGCCCAGCGTGTTGTCCAGGAAAGCCTGATCGAGCGGGGCTCAGTGCCAGAGCGCGCAGGCGCGCTCAGGAGCGAGGGGTTGCAAAGGGGCAGCGATCGTCAAGCAGAAATGCAAAGCCCGCCGCGGGCGCCTTTTGTTCGCCAGGGAGGAAACAGCCAGCCCTGGCCCCTCACGAGTCCTGCTGGAGCAAGCACGGGTGCTCGCACGGCCTGAGCACGCCTGCCAGTTGATGTTGCCGTCAAGTCTATGTTAGGTTCCCCGAAAGTGGTTCTTTCTTGTCGTCTGAGAGAATGGGCCTGGCGGTTGGTCTGGCGGCTCCGTGTTCGCCGTCGCCTGCCCGTCGCCGCCCGTCGCCTGGGCCTGGCTGAGGGTCTGGCTGCACCGTGGTTGCCGTCGCCGCCCCGTCGCCGCCCGTCGTCTGGGCCTGACCGCCGGTCTGGAGGCCATCGTGAGAATAATCGTCCCCGTCCTTGGCGCCTATTGGGTCCGTATCGAAGGCATCCTGGCACCCCTTTGGGGGGTCTTGGGCAGTGTTGGGGCGATCTTGGGTCGTGGGGGCCCTTTTGCAAGAGCTGCAAGACGGCCCAAAATGTGCCCAACGGTGCTGCAGGACGGTCCTTGGGGCCATTTTCAGTCACGTTGAAGTTTGACTTGGATGTCCCAAGTTGCGCGCTTTTCTGGGCCTCTGGAACAGTCACGCCGTGAGCTCCCGAGAGCGCTCAAAACCGCCCAGTGGCGCCCAGAATTCGGGGCTGTGGTCTCTTCACATACTATGCACAATATGATTGACGCTTCGCGCACCTCCACCAGTTGATCCAAACGATACCCAGCCGAGATGCGTTCATCAGCCGAGCTGGTTTCATCACTTTGCTATGTCTGAGAAGCTATTTGCATCCGCGCTTGAAGGTCGAGGTTCGTGGTTTCACCAGGTTGGTTCGTGACGCGATCTTCTTGCGTCTCCTTCCAACCTTGAGTTAACCGCCGCACAGTGACCGCTTACATACGCCATCGTTCGCAGGACAGCTCGTCTACGTGGCTGGGCGCGTCATGTGCACGGCGTTTGAAATAGCTCATCGGCTTTACGATTGGTTCATCGAACGTCGTCGTACTGGTGTGTCCGCTCCAGCGAAGCATGCAGTGGAACAAGTTCTGGATCAGCCTGCCCAGACCCAGGACGAGGGCGAGAACGAGATGAAGGATGGGGACACGGACGAGGAAGGAGGAGGACATGGAGGAGGACGAAGAGGAGGACGAGGCGGAGACGGAGGAGATGGATGGGGGAGGACGGCGAGGAGGAAGAGGACGAAGACGAGGAGGAGGAGGAGGAGGAGGAGGAGGAGGAGGAGGAGGAAGAGGAGTAGAACAAGGTGGAGACGATCGAGTTGTGGTTTTGCTGAAGCCCTCTTAGAGTCGTCTTGGGCTCTCTCGCGGCCCTGTCGGGGCTATGTTAGAGGATTGTTGCGTCCTCTTGGGGCTCGTTTGGGGGGTCTTGGGCTCTCTTGGAGCCTTGATGGGGGTCCCTTGAGCCTTGGAGGGCACTTTGGGGCCATCCTGGAGGGCGTTGATCAAACGAAGGGGGGGTCCTCGATGTCCTTGGCTCCTCTGGGACCATCAAACTCGCCTCGTGAGGCCTCTTGGTGCTCCCTTGGAGCGCTCTTGGGCGGTCTTGGGGCCGTCTTGAGGTTTTTCGAGGGCTACATCTTAGGACTCTCTTGGGGCCATCCTTGGGGCCATCCTGAGGCTTCAGAGCCACATCGGATGCGAAAAGGCGCGAAATCGGAATTCAGTGATTGTTCTCAGGCTTGTGTGCAAGGAGTTTGGCCTCTAGGGGCAGTGTGTCCTCTTGAGGCATCCTGGAGGCATGTCGGAAGGCATCCATAATTTTCTTCGCTTATCTCGAGCCATTTTTGTTTTTTTGGGGGGGCATCTTGGAGCAGTGGGGACCCACTTGCAGCCATCTTGGGCGCTCTGACCGCTTGTGGAACCCCTGAAGAGAATTGAGGACACTCCCCTTGACTCGAGGCACGGTGGCGGATATGTACATGCCGCACCGCGTAGCTTGCAACACAAACATGCCACCGCATTAAATGCACATCGGGGGTTCAAGAGTCTATCCTTTGGGTCCACGCTGGCTAAAGTGCTGGCATACCGTCAGTAGCTTTGGGATGCTCGGGACAATTCAGAGCCATCTTGGGGCCTCAAGGCCTCTCGGAGCAATGGTGGAGGCAACCTGGGCCAGCTTGGGGCTTCTTGCGCTGTCTTGGAAGCAAGCTTAGGGTATACGGGGCAATCTTCTTACAACCATGAGCTCTCCAACGTCTCGCGACCGAAGCAGCCAGACTCCGCTAGGGGGCAGATGGGTCCGACATGGATGAAGGAATACTTTGGACAAGCCATTACCCCAAGCCGCCCACGCCCAGAGTGCTGGTCGCCCAGAGCCGCCCAACATGTTTCTGTCGTGGGAGCGTGGCAGCAAACCGCGGTCAAGGCAACCGAGGTGCACCTGCAGAGCCGAATGCATGGCACGCGATCTACGCTTGCAATCCAGGGGGCAACCGAGAGGCACCGTCAAGCAACCCATAGGAGCAATGTGCATAGCGATATGCCCAGTCTGGTGCAGCCGCGCGTGCCACGGGACGTAGCCCACGCCGCGGAGCAGTGCGGACGGGGGGGGGGGCGAGAAGCACGTACGCGGAGGTGCGCCAAGTTCCCAGTGGGCACGATCCGCGCGGGCGGTGTGCCCAACAAGGCGGGGGGACCACGCAGACTTGCCCACTGGGGCCGGTGGAGCTCCCTGCAGGGCCCGATCTGTTTCAGGGGTGCGCCGTCATGAGCCAGGGGACGCTGTGCCGCGATGCGGACTTGCCCACGGGGGGCACGGAGAGCATTTCGGGGGGGAAACGCTATGCGGACTTGCCCACCAGGGGCCGTGTATGGAGATGGACGGAGCTTCCCGTTGGCCACGATCCGCGCGAGGGGTGCACCGAAATGGCGCGATGCAGCGGCGGGAGCGAGAGGAGAGAGGAGGGGAGGAGGGGAGGAGGGGAGGAGGAGGCGACGCGCGGCGCAGCGAAGTCGACACGAGCAACCGACACCACAGGAGGGGGTTTGGGTAACAACGGCGCGCCCAGAGCCAGACAACGCGGGCCCGACGCGGAGCGGAGCCGCGCGAGCGGCAACCCCTCACTCCCCCAATCTGTAAATTGATGCACAGGGTGGGCCTGGCGCCTTTTTTGGTTGCACGGTACCTTTGGCCTACGGCTGCCGCCGGCTGAGGGGCCTGGCCACTTGGTCTTCGCGGCTGCACGTAAGAGTCGCGCTTCGCCAGAGTGGCCTCCAGTCCCGGAGTCCGGGCCCCGAAATTCGGGAGGCGCAGGGGGCAAGCTCAAGCACACAGGCCGCTACTGTCGCACCGCGTGCGCCGATCGGCAAGCCGCGCACCAGAGGTCATTCTTGCCTAGGGTCGCTATGTTCGTGCAGCCGATCTTCCTCTGGCGTCCCTTCCCCTCCCCAGCCGCCCTTCTCCTCCTGGGCCTCCCTCCTCTGTGCCAGCCGAGGGGTGGACGTGTCTGACCTCGTGCTATCTCTTGGGCAGCCTCCACCTCCTTGCGCCATGGATCGAGTAGCACGATGTTCGGCTTGACAAGTTTCGGCCCACGGGGGCCCTTGCCGGGCCCCAGGACCGTCAACACACAATGCAGACTGGAAAATCGGTCTCCTGGAAGAGGGTCGGGGGCCTCTGGGGGTCCGCGCTGCGACAAAATCACAATGTCGGGTTCAATCTGCATGGCCCCCCTAATCTGGCCTAATGGACTTTTTGGTTGTTTCTCCACGAAAACCTTCTCCAGGAGGTGCTGCCTGCCCTTCCCAGGGGCTGGGAAACTCTGGGCCGCGCGGATGGGGTCGGAGAGGATGGGAGCGGAGGATTTTGCGCCGCATCGGCGATGCGGCTCGATGTTCAGTCCCATTTTCTCCATGCCGACGTCGCCGATGCATCGCCTACGTCGCCGCTGCATCGCCGATGTACTGGTGATGCATCGGCGATGCGACGCGATCCTCCGATCCCCATCTGGGATGCCTCTAGCCTCGGCCTTCGGAGGCAGACGAACGTCCCCTCCCTCCCTCGACCTCTTCCCTCCCTCCCTCGATGCTCGACCGGGAGAAGGGCCTCCTGAGACAACGGCCGCTCTCCCGCCTGGCCCACATGCACCAAGAAGTCCGTCCCTGGGCCCCATTCGTGGGTCCATCCTGACCAGCTCCTCGAGGCGGATCAAGCCGTGGCGACGAGAAGCCTCCGGGAGGCCCAGGAGGATGCAGAAGAGCGCCGGGAGGGCCGCCGTTGACCTCGACTGGCCTTAAGTCGGGCCTGTCCCTATGCAGGGGGATGGTCAGAGGACGATTTTTGAATTATTTGTGGCTATGTTTGAGCATTGTTTGCGCATTTACCTAACAGCTTTTGCTGATAGGTTTCTAGTGGTCTCAAAAGAGAGCATCTTGACGCCCCAGGGGGGTCTGGGCGGGAACCGGACAGAGGATCCGGCAGATCCGGCAGCCCCAGGAATCCTCGTTAAGAATCCTTAGGAATCCATTCCCAGAACACCATTCCCAGGCCACATTTTGAATGCCCGGAGCCAACTGTGGGCCACTTCGTGTTCTTCGTGTTCCCAGAACACCATTCCCAGGACACATTTTGAATGCCCGGGGCCAACTGTAGGCCACTTCGTGTTCTTCGTGTTCCCATAGCACCATTCCCAGGACACATGTTGAATGCCCGGAGCCAACTGTAGGCCAGTTCGTGTTCTTCGTGTTCCCAGAACACAATTCCCAGGCCACATTTTGAATGCCCGGAGCCAACTGTAGGCCACTTCGTGTTCCTTGTCTTCCCAGAACACCATTCCCAGGCCACATTTTGAATGCCCGGAGCCAACTGTAGGCCACTTCGTGTTCTTCGCGTTCC